CTAGTTCGTACTTAAAATGGACAACTTCCATTCATAAGACGGACTAAGAATCTAGAGTTAAGATGGCAAATGATCCAAATCAAGAGGCATGCCAAGAGTGACAAAGTCACAGCCACAAGAAGGACAAGGTCCCAACAAGAGTGCTAGGTGATCAAACAATCCATACAAGTGGGCGAGTTACACAAGCATCTTTAATGCCTTAAAGAATACCAACATGACAAGGCCAAGTGATAAAAGTAACCAAGGTATCAAGATAACCCTTCAAATATACAAGAAAATAACAAGAGTACAAGTACAAGTTTATCCACAAATCTCGGGCTTTAGCATAGAAACAGTCCGACAAAACATCAAGAATTCAAACCGTAGCCCGACCAACGTATCAAGGTTCTCAGATTGTACACAAGTATATATAACCTTAAAAATACAATCACATAACTTCTTTAACTTCTATTAGCTCAGTAATGTTGACGTAAAATAGGATCATCATCGCAAGTAAGCCTAGATGTACAAATACAACTATGCTCCCAAAACAGTGAATCTGTCCAGCCTGGTACCTTAAGTCGCAAATTAGATTTGAACAGGAAAATGGTAAAACTAGACTTTATAACCTTAATGAAATATGTAGATACATCACTTAGGGTTGCAAACAAACAAGAATCACCGCAAAATGTATTTTGTACAACAAGATATAGTCAAAACACTAACAGCTGTTCATACCGAATTTGAGATTCCAAAATCTGGACAGAACTTGTTCTATGTTGCGTCCCGTATTTCGAGTCTATAACAGCTGAATCAGAGTTTGACATAAACATAAGAGTTGTAGGTCTATGAATTAGCTTTCCAAGTCATATCTATTCACTACAAACTAAGTTCTAGATCGAGAGATATGCATTCAAGACTTTAAGAAACAAGGAGGGACACTTTAGTCTACCAACCAAATCACAACATTTTCATTTAAGGATCTTTCGTAATCCAACATCATTTCATATATACATCATGAGAAATCATACTTTAACTCACAATGCTATCCACTTTACATAGGATCATCACAAGATCACATAAAACTCATTCACACCATTCCTTCACATATAGCTTCACATAAAACTCATTCACAGCATTCCTTCACATATAGCTTCACATAAAACTCATTCACAGCATTCCTTCACATATAGCTTCACATAAAACTCATTCACAGCATTCCTTCACATATAGCTTCACATAAAACTCATTCACAGCATTCCTTCACATATAGCTTCACATAAAACTCATTCACAGCATTCCTTCACATATAGCTTCACATAAAACTCATTCACAGCATTCCTTCACATATAGCTTCAAATTCACAATAATACAACAAATAACCACCTCCACCAAAGGTGGATCAAACCAACCAATAACAATTATATCAATACTAAGAGATTAAGCCATCTTACCATTCTCCAAAGCCATAACCAACATTACTCAATTCCCTACTAATTCAACATTATTCATAAAGTAGGTCAACTTACCATCCTTTCCAAGCCACCTTCACCATTCTCATGATCAAACAATTCACAATAGAAAGCATAGGTAATCATGGTATTCAACTATACCATTTAAGCTAAGCATAAGCCCATAATCAACATGAAGACAAATTCACAATTTTTGCCCATTCAAGGCCAACATCCCACATCCTTCAATTCAATAAAATTCTTAACAATTCACATATATAATACCACATATGAACAGCCTATACCATACTAAACACAATTTTTATAACCATCTACTCCAAATCAATACACCCACTTTATGGTGAAATTTAGAGAATTTGAGAAAACATGGGTTCATGGGGATTTCTTTCTAAAAACCATTACTAAACATTAATAACAATATAAATCATCATTTAAAACTTTTTTTATGGAAGAACCCATGCTAGAATCGAAATTAGGACTTTAGGATTTTTGAAGAACTTTGAAAATACTTTGAATTAGCTCTTTGATTGAAAAAGGAATCAAAGATAAAGAGTCCCCATACCTTAACTAAGAATCCCCAAGCAATTTGAGAAAGAACCACCTGAAAATCGTCAAACCCTATTTCCTAGTTCTTGACCTTCTTCAATGGAGGATTGTAGAGAAAAATATTTGAGAGGAGAGATTTCTTTCTTTATTCTAATTGGAGTGACTTAATTAAATGAAAGAATTTTGGTCAAAAAGAGGCTTTATAATTGCTAGGAAAGGCAAAGAATAATAGGAACTCAACTTAGGAAAAGAATTAGGGACCCACAAAGTTAAACTTAAAAGTGTTCACTAATCCCGTCTAAACTCGTCCTTTTGGACAGTGCTTTACTATTTCGGGCATAACTTTTTACTCCAAGGTCGAAATTGGGAAAACTCGGTGGCGTTGGAAAGAGGACTCAGAGACCTTTAATTGGATAGGTAAGGTCCACCTAATTCATTTTGAACTAAAAGATATGACTGTTTAAAGTTTACCCTTACCACTCACTAGTTCAACTGACTAGTTTCTGGATGTCACGGTTATTTCTCATCATTTCATCAAGTTCTCAACTCCAAACTCACATGTGAGGCTCTAGTTTCACTAGTTCGTTTTTAGGGTCGTTACAATTTTTGTGTCATTAAACACATCATATTTTGTGTTATTTCTTAAGAAACACCTTAGATAGTTGTATTTCTGCAGGATTAAAAAAATATTTAAAGTACAAATAAATTATATGTTTGTATGAATACTTTATCGGAAAAACCCGAAAAAACCCAAGACTGAAAAACCCAAATTTTATTGATTTGATTTGATTTATAAATTTAAAAATTCGACACGAATGATTTGATATTTAAAAAATCCGAACCAACCTGATCATGTACAATCTTCAGAATCATATATGTGAGACTATTGCAAGCTCGAAACATACATGCAATGAAGGTACAAAGGTCTACCTTGATTTTCTACATACATCCACCTGATTTTTTCAAAAGAGCCTTTCAACAGTATTATTAGATACGAGAAATCTAATTTCTTTGCAAGTCAATTCATATTAAAAAGAGAAGTTTAACTTGTACTTAAAGGAGGAGGACCCTTGTATGAAAGAGTTTCCTTTGTTCTATCGAAGGTGAAAGGCTAGATATCTCATCTCTAATTAGAATTCATATAATTGTTAAATTTATCAAACCAAATAACGAGCCACATGGGGTGCAGCAACTTACCAGACGATCAAATATTCAGATGGCACTAGTTCCCAGTTTGACGACTATTATAAATAGCTTTCTATATTGTCGGTGGTTAAGAAAACACATATATATAACCTCAATTTATTGATAGTTAATAAAGCTCCTTCATATTTACATATATAAGTTATTATATAATCCTCAATGAACACTTGTGTTTATTCATCATCAACTAAAAGACTTCGTGCAGCGCATCATATATCCTACTTAGCTGCTTTTGGGGATTTCCTTGGATGGCTTCACAATGAGAATAGGGCATTGCACATGATGAGCACAATAGTCGCTCACACTACCCAAGAAAGCCCTGCAAAATAAGCTTAATCACTGTGAATTATCATAAACATTCCAACAAGAGCAATTAAAACTACTAAAGCTTTCCTGCTCGTTTTGTCTTCTCTCTAGCGTGCCCGTGCGCGTTTATACATATGTATATATGTATATATATGTTTCCACAGATTTTTAGTGTGAACTTTTTAACATTCACATTTTAGAAATTTCACAAAGCTTCTTGTGTAAAAGAATATGGAGATCAAGCAACGGTAGTCGATCGAGGATATTCATAAAGGGGGTGTCAATGGTTAAAGGAAGAAAAAAAAAAAGTAATTATTCACTTGAAGAGTTTTTGCAACCCCTTATTCACTAGACTAAATATTTTACTTATTTTACTTGTATATATATTAAATCAAAATTTGACCTCTACCTACGATGTAATTTTCCGGCGAAGGGGTGTCGCTCGACACCCATTCGGCCAAGGTGGGTCCGCCCCTGAGCAACGGTAGTCGATCGAGGATCAGGGGTGTTTGCTAGATATTACCAGCAACTACGTCTGGGGGTCAAATTAAAGGAGCAACGCATATGCCGCTCTTTAATTTCTTTATTAAGGCATTTAATTTTAATGAGAGGGAAGTACTTAAAAGAGGTCATTTTCAGTATCAATGTAAAATAAAAGGCCAGGCCAGTGAGTATTGTAAGACTGCTTGGGAGGTCATTATTTGGACATGGATGTATGTGGTGCTGTGTTGGAATTTCTCAGAATTGGAAAAATAATGGAAGCGACTGAATGCTACCTGTGTTATACCTACTCAATTCATACTTGGTGTATATATGTTGTAAAATGTTATATGTAAGTGCATCTCTAAATTCCTTTGCAATACTCTATATATGATATGCTACCCGTTTCTAGTAAGTGACACACAAACTGCTTTTGTGAAAGAGAGGTCCCTGGTCCAAAATGTTTTGATATATTATATGTAGAGAGGTGAAGATTACACACCTTATCTTTGTAGATGATCTTACGATATATATTCTGCTGCAAAGGTTCTATGCAGAGAATTGTGGAAGCTTTAAAACATATTTCAGAGATTGGACTTGTTGCAAATTCAGACAAGTCCAAATGATTGTCGATCATAAGCTTTACAGCGGGAACTTCCCCAGTAGAAGACTAATGGTGTAATGGATTGGATATTGAGTTATTAACTTAAGAGGTGTAAGGATCAATTCCAGGCTTGGACATATGGAGTGAAAACCTTAAAACTCTAATCCCAACAACTTTTACGGTGGTCAGAACAATAGTGTATGCAACAACATTCATGCATGTGCCTCTTCGAATGTCTTCACACAGTGTCACAGGAAACTCCACCTGAAATTGCTATTATCACTTTAATTATGCCGATATATTAACCTCAACTTGCTCCTCCAATTGCAAAAATACTTCGATTCCACAAACATATCACTAATGACATGCAAGTTAAATACTTTTAGTTACTCAATATTCACATAGGAGACTCGGATAATAATTTCAATGTGTTGGGCCAAAATTATTGAAAAGAAAATTTACCTTTTAATCTTGCCGAGCCCTCGGCTACCGACTACTAGAAGGTCAGCGTGCAGTTCATGTGCAGCTTGACATATCATATCTTTTGGGTCCCCATCTAGGATCAGAGTCTCCGCCTTCACCTAAAACAATCATAAATTAATAATAAGACCACACAATGCAAATATATAAGCAACCAGAAATTGTCAATTGTAGGTACCATCTTTTGTTTGCAGAGATGGAGTGCCCGAGACAGTATTCTAGTTGCATTCTCGTGTTGTCCTTTTTTCACAGCTTCAACAACAGTAGGCGCCGCAAACACAACTATAAATATAAACCAATTAGTTCACCTTACTACACCTTCCGTCCCAAATTAATTATTTTAGTTTGATTGCATACAAAAAAAAATTTAAAAAAAAAACTTCTGAATCATGTTTTTTTTTAATAAATAGAAATGAGAGTATATACATACCAGGTCCAGCAGGATAAACCATGGGGGTAAAAGGAAGTTGGACATTGATCAAAGTGATGATAATAGAAGGATCGTTGATCAAATTATCTAATGCCCATTTGAGAGCATAGAAACTCTCCTCGCTCTCATCGATAGCCACCATTATCATCTTTTTCATAGTAACCGGAGTATCACTAGCTGCACTTGCTGGAGCATTAGCTGCACTGGTCTCTGCCTCCATATATTCTCTCTTGGTTGGCGCGGGCGTTTGATCAGTATTCCTTTGCTCTTTATTTTTTATATATATTTCCTGCTTTCTCCTTTGTTCACTATTTTCAAGCTACTCCTTCTAATCTAATCTAATCAAATTTTGTTGTGTTTTGGGATGAGAATTTGATATAGAACTAATAAGTTTGACGTGGCAGATATGCATGCCAAAAGAAGCAAAGTGTCATTTCGACATGCCAAAGCTTGCCACGCTTGCTTCTCATGTGTACACATTCTTCTCCACACCTTTATCCTAACTTGTCCATCCACCCATCACATCATTCTCTCTTTTTCATTCTGCTATCACTTTTCAATATAATAAGTATAATATCTTGAAAAAAGTTACAGACCATAACTAATGATAAAAATAATTAAGAATTAAGTATAAAATTATATATTGATTTTATAAAGTGAAAAAGTATTGTTGGATATTCAAAAGTAACTTACATAAATATATTATAATAAAAAAATATTTATCATTTATAGCAAGAACATTTTTTTTTTCACTTGATCACTTTTAATATATTTATTATACGGTTTTAATACATATTATAAAGAGTAATTTATTATTCACATATAATACAAGTTTTATTGATGGATAATACATTTATCACACATTTTGATACACTTATAATACAATGTGTCAATTTCTTATCAAAAAAGCATAATATATTTTAAAAAAACAGTTATAATACATATATATTGCATACTTAATTCACTTTTAATACATATTGCTAAAAATAAAATTAAATAAAAGTATAGCTAAAATTCGTAATTATTTTTTAAAAGGCACTCATCCAAGTAATCTTTCCTTCAAAAATAGTATAGTGCATGGATAATTATTATTGAACGAAGGACATGTTTTTTTCTATTCTTGCCAAAAATATTATTGTTGCCTTTTTCTAATTCTCCAAAATAATATATACAATAATATATAAAATATAAAATATAAAATAATAATATATAAACGTAAATTAAAAAAATTTAAAATATTATAAAAAAATAATAAAATAAATTTTTTAAATGAAACATAACAAACATATAAGATATGTTAATTAATTAATAAGAAATATATTGATATATATGCATATATCGAAGAAATAGTTTAGTTTTGAAAAAATTATTTCTTGTTTCTTCTTCTACTTTTTTTAACAAGTAGAAATTTGTAGCGTCTTTCTAACAACAGAAAATTGTCTCTACTTCTATTTAAATTCAGTTTTACTAATTTGTCAAACATTTAATTTAAAAAGAAAAATTAAAAATAAATGTTTTTGGCCTCCCAACACCAATGTCAAATAGACTCTTAATAACAGTAATCTAATTTCAACTTATTTTAAAAATATATAAATATAAAAATTCTCTCTTTAATTAATACTACTATTTTTAAATAGCCTATTAAATCTTAAATCATAAATAATCATATTAGAGGAAAATATATTTATTAGTGAAAATTACAAAAGTATATTATTTAAGACTTTAATTAAGAATATATACACCTATTTATATTTAATTACAAATGAAGTTTATAAGTTACGAGCATAGCATATTAAATTAATTTCCGATTTTAATTATTTATTTATTTTCGATTTTACTATATTAGTTTTTTGGGATTTTGTGCCTATTTTTTGGGATGATAATCATGTACTCCCTCCGTCCCATTTTATATGTCACCTTTTTACTTTGTATTTGCATTAAGAAATAATGCAATTTTACCCTTCTACCTTTATTTAATGTTTTCTTAAGTCAACTTTATAATAAATTAAGTCAACTTTATTTAATGTTTTCTACCTTTATTTAATGTTCAAGATTAATTATCTACTCTATCAAGGATATAATTGGCAAAATATGGTAATTTATGCATAAATTTTATAAAATGACAAATATTGCGGTCCAGCTATTTATAGAAAGGAATAACATATAAAATGGGACGAAGGGAGTATTAAATTTAATATTTTTATATCACCAATTAATGGTTATTGCTAGCTTTTCAAATATTTTTTTTTTACTTTTTCGTCCTTTTTGATTCAATCGATATAAAAGTAAAAGATCTGTAAAAGATTTTTATCTTTCCACCTCTTCAATTTTCTAAGCAATTGTTATTTTCTATGCACTTTTATTTTCTTGAAAAATTAAAAATTTCTCTAATATGTGTTCTTCTTCGTTCTTCTTTGTTCTTCTTCTCTCTCCGAATTCTGTTCAACTGCAATTTCACCATTGTTTTATCTCGTAAGTCCATTACTTTTCAATAGGTTTGTTATCGTTTACCTTTAGTTCTTCCCTCAATACGCCATGGATAGGACGCCCAAAAAAAGTCCTAGGCTTCATAACCAATCGTAGTTGTTGATAGTCCGCCTATTGTTTGTTGAAGACCTTCTTTTTAGTAGGATTCATTTATATGTGGTGTTTAAAGTAAAAGTACACATTTTGATTTGTGTTCTAAATTAATATTAAATCTTTATTTCAGTATAAATGGAATGTGATCATGTTGGTATATATAGTGATTTTTTTAATGGAAGTTAGTAAAAATCTTGGTTTGTAGCAATTAGTTTCTATTACAAAAGCTTTGTTTATTAATAGAATCTTGGGGAGTCGCCTTTCATATTTTTTATGGTAAAATGTTATCTTTTGATTTGGTAACTAATTAGTACAACATTAAAGTTTGATGTAAAGTATGAGATTAGGTAACTAATTAATAGAATCTTCGTAATAGCCTTTCAACAATTTTAGTAACTTCTGATATAGTCTGCTTGTTTTTATAAACTTGATCTTCGATCACCAAATCGTGTTGAGGATTTGAGATTATTTCAGTTTTTTCATATTCTTCAATTAAATCATCCAAAATAGGATCCATATCAGTCAAACATAGTGTGTTGAATCTCAATTTTTCTTGCCTTGTTGATAGGACACCATTTTGATACTCAATGGCTTCCATAGTTCTATCCACACATGTTACACATAAGGGATACTTTGATAAGAAATCGTAATTGCATTTTTTAAATCTAAATAAACTTGAACACCTATATCGTTATGAATCTTCATTGGTGGAGATGGATTACTCACGACATATTTGAGTTTTAAATGAAAAATGGTTGTGTCCACACCTAATTGGGAAGATATAATAGTAACTAAGCCTTCGTATTTGGCGTTTGCATCATACATCACTCCTTCAATATTGTAATCTTACCTGTGTTAGATTACAACTTATTAATCAATTTTCAAAATAAATAGAATTGTGTTCCCGCTGTAATTAAATTACACAATTTGGTACATAGAATGCCTTTATATATATAAAAAAAATGGTAATTATTCTGGTATAAAAAAATTGTTGACGACCTAAATTAGTTTTCTACACCATCATTTTCACCATTTCATTTACCAAAAACATAACAACAATTTTGTGGTATTTAAACATAATACACAATACCAATTATACCAAATCATTTACAACCATGTACACTATCAATTACACTTAAAAATCTACCATAAAAAATTAATGAAATTTATTGTTTATACACGAATTAAAATATATCATCACCAATCAATAATAATTATAACCAATAATATTTCTTCAATTTTGTTATTGTTATCTATAAACAACCAAAATCAAACTATTAACTACACCAGTAGATGTACCCAAATAATAGCTTGAAAGTTGGTGTTTATATAATGCCTAAATGATACCAATTATACAAGATCACACACCAATAGAAATTCTCGAATTATGGTATTTATATATGGCCTAAAAGATACTTAAGTGCACTAATCAATTATACTTAATTTTATATGACAAAATATTCACTGAATCTGATGTTTAATAAAGGAATTTAAATATACCATCATTTTCACCAAATCATTTTCCAACAAAAAAAATCACCAAAGTTGATTTTTATATACAACCTAATTAACACCCACACCAAAAATAAACTATGATTCTGGTGTTTAAAAAAAACGTAATACAAAATACAATTAACACGAAATCATCTATACAAGTACACTATGAATTACACCTAAGCATCTACTGTCACGCCCCGAGCCTACACCCTGGGCGGGACTGATAATCGATCCATTGTTGGCCCCAAGCGAACCCTTGACCTGGATTACTACTCAGCGAAAGACTTTAAGCATTAATAAAAGAAATCAAATACAACTCTACTCAAGTATCTCAAAATTAGTTAGAATGTTTTAAAAGTAAACATTCAACTAGCCAAAGTGGCAAACCAAGTCTTATAGCAAACAACTGAAGTGTAAAGACTAAAGAACTATAGCTATCTGTCTATGAAGCCTCCAAAAACTATGACAGATGTCAGGACAAGACCCCCGATCATCCTAACAACTGAAAATGCTAAAACAATGTAAAAATGGGTCCTCCAAAAAGCAAGGAGGCTCACCAACTGACTCTGAGTGCTCGATTGGATCAACGAAGAGCTGAATGTTGATCTTGGTTACATATATCTGCATCATAAAATGATGCAGGTCAAATGGAATGAGTACATTGAATGTACGAGCATGCGAGGAGAATTCTATAACAAGACATAAGCTTGAAAAGGAACTGAAAGAACTTACATGGTCTCAACTCAACTCGACTTAACTCATTTCAATATAACACAGTAATATAAATGCAATATAAAGAAAAGCTTTTAAAACACGTGAATAACAACTTTGCGTATTGAAAAACACAACAATAACTCAATTTGTATAAGAAAATACAAACAACTCTGTGTATATAAAATAAAAAATATCTATGTGGGAGTTTCTCTAACCGACAACCATCACTATGAGCTATGTGATGATACAACTTCTTGCCTCACGCTGCAAGGGCCATCCTATACCTTGTCGGGGGTATAGAACCTAACTACTAAGTGGATCCACTAGTCTATGCTAAAAAGCACTAAGGAATCATGTAAAAAGTATGACCCTTTTCTACCCATGCTGGCCACACGGTTTATGGAGACTTTGAATTATCTGAACTCAAGCTTGTCCCCAAATCGGTGCTCAATACTTCTCCTAAAATGAACTAGCTCATATGTTTAAAAACATAACTCTTTCTGTGGTTTGAGATAATTACTCAAAAGC